TCCTATGATGCTGCTTGGCCTGCTGTGTTCATCCAGCCCTGCACCTTGTTGTCTCGGATTCTCCAGCATCTGCAGTTCCTACTATCCCCAGATCATTTCCTGCTTCTCTGGACGTACAGAAGCAACTCGGTTGGCTCATTTAATCCCTATGTTTGATGAAGAAGAGCGGGAAACCCAGCCTCTGCAGTTCCTACTATCTCTGAACCATTTTAAAAAATCTTTTCGGGAAATTAACATTCATAAATGACATCTTGTTCCCTGTCAGTATTGGGTCACTGTAATGAACGGTAATAACACTGAACGTTGCCCAGTGGTAGGTGATTTTATTCAGTAAAGCGTTATCTGCTGGCGTATATGTCTGAACGCGTTGACCGAAACTATATACAGGCAGTGATTCAGCAATCTTACGCTTTCTGTGACTTCAAGTCACGGCAGAATAAGACAGATTTGCCGCCTGCTTTTTACAACCAACATGCTATTTCATACCGATACCACCTTTTGAATCTGGGGAGAAAAAAAAATCATCAGCATGTGCTTTGGCAGGCTATTATTAACACCGTTTACAGTCTTTGCATTTCCTGCACAATTGTCCACTGCAAACAATGTAGCTAAGCTTTGGCTGAAGCGCTGGAGCAACTGGAACTGCGCTTTACAAGCTCTAGGCTCTTACTGAACCCATAGGACAGCGGCAGAAATCACACGACACCAGGTTTCAAATAAAATCTGTTGGACTATAATCTGGTATCGTGTGATTTATTGCCTGGTCCACCCCACTCCTATACTGGCATCTCCACACCATAGGACAGTGGCCTAGCCGAGTATCAAGGTCTCCTCTCTGTCATTGGTTATCCTGGGCCGGGCCTCCTGGGTCTCCGCCTGGCTATTGGTTGTCTTGGGCCAGGCCTCCTGGATCACTCCACTGCTATTGGTTTTACCGGTTCGTACCCTCTTGGAGAAGAGGAGTGGGCGGCTCTCAGAGAGAGAGGCATCGGGCGTGAAGCCAATGCACAAAAACAGACTATTCTGTAATTGCACAACATGCTGCATGATAATTCCTGTTTGCATCTTTTCCCTCTTGATGACTTCCTACGTGTTGTATTTTTCTCGCTACAACTCGATTGTGCAGCTGGGACAATTCTAATATGAGAAAATTTTGAACTTTGACAACTTCCATGTAATCGACATGCTTTATTGCATTACTAATGACTGACAATAGAATCATAAAAATAATTAAGATAACAAATCCTGCGGTCTTGGTGCCGTGTAAAGTTGTCATTGAGAAATTGAGAGCAACACATTATTATTGCAGCCGACCAGCTTGTGAAAGTCTAACAGGATTTTGCACCTTTTGCAAGATGTTGACCTATTGCAAAGTCTTCCCATTTTAATTTGTTTTGGGTTCTCGTTTTCAATAACCATGTTTCACAGTAAATATTTACTGGTAATGTAGAACGCAAAAACGAAATCATAACATGCCCATTTTGTACATGCGGCCCCAAACCCAGTGTCCACTCTCTTCTGCTGGAGATGTGTTCTTTTTGGCTGCCGTATCCCGGGCCACTGAGATAAGTAAAGGTGAAGGTTAGAATTGCAAATTTTAGCCAAGCTTCTTGTCAGCTTATTCGGTGGAACGTTGCCACACACTTAAACTGAGGTGGTGCTGATAAGGGTAATCAGCCCACACCTCCCATTTCGGAACGCCCAACTGTGGCTGTACTTTGGTTGTACCATCCGTACTTGTCTTAGTTATATAACAACAGAAACTCCAGAGGGGCAAAGCCGTGGTCATTTTAAGGAAACAACATCTGGAGGATATGGGCGAAGAATTCTTCACAGGATTACTCTTCACTGTGCAGTGCGAGCAAGCACCAACCCATTGAAGGTAATGCATTTGAAAGTATTGATTAGAAGCCTCCAATGTTTGCCGTTTTAGCTTGCAACGGAATTAAAAGGATCGTACTGCGGACTTATTGCACTTTTCATAAAGACGAACATTATATTTTGTCACAAATTCCAGTTACGTGTTAACTAATGTCTAAGTAACTTGTGCGTGAGAACATCCTCAAAAGCATTGAATTAGGTACAAAAGCTTCTGAATCTAATGATGCTCCTTATTATTCAATGAGCAAGTGTCAGGCTGGATTCCCATTCTGTACCAATCTAAGACTGTTTTAGGGGAGACGGAGGTAAATTGATAATGTCACTGGGATGGAGGTCAAGATAATGCCTTAAGGGGCGCCTATAGTGCAGTGGCAGTGTCCCTACCTCTAAACAACAGAGGCCTAAATTCAAATCTCCTATACTTCAGAGTTGTGTCATAACGTTTCTGAGCAGGTTGATTTTAAAATTTTGTGTTGTATTTACGGAGGGACCTGGCTAATTATCTCTATCCAATGAGTGCCGCCAGTGGAGAGTTTATACGTGGGCAAAGATTAAAACAGACTTTGGGGTGATGCCGCACCTGGTTGAAAAGCGTTGACTAGGTGTGAAGGGGATAACTAATAGTGTGGAACCAAGCTCCAACCTTTTATCTATATCTTGGTCTGTATTGACCAAGAAAAGGAGGTGGGAGTTGGGTCAAGGATAGATGAAAAAAACGTGATGCTGGTGAATTCCATGGGCTAATGAGCAGAGGTTGGTGTTGCCATCAATTTACCAAAGTTTAAAAGATGGAAATAAAATGGCAAGGTGCGGTGTGAAATAGAGCAGATTTAGGCCCGAATTAAACGTCATGAATGTAAAAAAAATGTAATTTGTAGCAATGTACCTATATACACAAAACAAAACCAATCAAGATCACAAAAGCAGCTCACGATAACCTGAACAGCATTGTCGACAATATGATTACTTTATTTCTTTCTAGCACTTTGCAAAGTTTCGCGGTCTTTGTTGAGGATGGTGGGCCTAAAACCTTCAAGCATTCCAGTGACTCCTGGTGTGCAGATCCTGAGTGCTGGCACAGCCGCCTGCATTGCTGATCTCATCACATTTCCCCTGGACACGTCTAAAGTCAGATTACAGGTAACGGAGGGGGGAGGGAATAATCCGTTTTTAAGAAAAAAAAACAAAACTAAAATCTTAAGTATATTCTGCATTTGTACACGTTTGGTTAAAAGATTGTAATTCGTTGCAAGCGATTAATTTTTAATGTTAAGGAATTTTGCATAAAATTTTAAAAATGGTCAAAACGTGCGCCTGTTTTGCTCTCATGCTGTCCCCACTTTAACTCTCACACTGTGCCTGGTTTAGATTCAAGGAGAAACTACACGATCCTCGGCAGTCGGAGTTCCCAAAAGTATCAAATACCGCGGCGTCTGGGGGACAATCGCCGCCATAGTCAGAACAGAAGGACCCGGGAGTTTATACAGTGGACTAGTAGCCGGCCTCCAGAGACAGATGATCTTCGCTTCAATAAGAATCGGACTCTATGACTCTGTGAAACAACTTTATACCGGAGAGAATGGCCGTATGTACCGATTGGCTGGAGGAACCGTTATTTAAAATACATACCTTTCAGCGCACAAATAAATGCACGAACGCGCGACTAGGAAACAGTTAATGCAATGAATATGTTCAGAGGGCAGTTGTAGAAATTGTCTTAGAAGGCAGTGTACAATAATGGAAGGAATGCAGTTGCTGTGTTGTTTCTTTAGCAAATTTATTGACATTTTAAAAATAACGTATGCATTATGGACAAGTGGGAGTTGTGTCTCCTGTTCAGTAACACAAATGTTTTTTTTTAACCAGAAAACAGTTTGGAACAAAAGAAGTTTTCATACACGGTATACTCATGGTGTAATATGTGAAATATTGATTAATCCTCTCCTTCAGATGCTAGTATGGTTGACCGCCTTTTGGCAGGGTGTACTACAGGAGCACTCGCTGTGCTAGTGGCTCAACCGACTGATGTGGTTAAAGTTCGTTTCCAGGCACAAGTGAACCTCAGGTGTGTTACAAAGCGATATCATGGCACCCTTCAAGCTTATAGATCAATCGCCAGAGAAGAAGGAATTCGAGGACTGTGGAAAGGTGCATATTTGTGTATAACATCTCTTCATGACCAGACCTTCTGGTATCCCATCATATCCCAAAAGCATGCAGTAATTGCCCAGGAAGTTGGAACTTTCAGAGAAGTCCACAGATATCATTTACAGTTGGAGACTGGAGAGTCAGCCAGTAGGATTAAAGCCTGCTCTAATTCCTTGGTAACTATAAATATGGCCTGCCTCCTCCCCTAATCACACACACACACACTGAGCCAGCACACTCTGCTAATACTCAAACACCATCACTAGGTAAGCACCCAATCCCACCCCTCACTCCCTGCAGATAGCTAGGCATCCCACACACAACCATCCAACGACACACCCATTTCATGAAATCTGACCCTCCTGCCATCATCGAACCCAACCTGCCTCCACACCCACTGATCTGCCAGCTGTACTGCCCCAGCCACCTGGTACCTGCCACTTTGCCCTCTGAACCATCTATCTGCCAATGTAACCTCTCACCCAAGTGCCACCTTTACCTCACCTGCCTTGCACCCTACACTGTCACCAATCTTTCACTCTATTCTATTACCAAGCTGCTACTCTAGCTCCTTATCTACCTGTTTGTTACACTAAACCCTAGCCAATGTGCGTCCCTAACTGCACACCTACTGGGTACTCTACCCCATCACCACTTGGCTCCTTGCACCTTTACCTACCGGCATCTTAACCCTTTACCCACAATTCCCCTTTCCCACTCAGCTTACACACACTTTTTCAGGAGCTATCAAAGAGGCTTTGAGAACTTGTAAACATTTTACTGAGTGAAATATGGGAGCTATTGCTGTGAGAAAAGGGACTTGCTTTCTGCAAAGATCCGCTCTGATGCTACCTGCCTGGTTTGCAGAATTACTTCCGTTGTGGTGGATCCTGCATCAGAAGTCCAGCTGAAAAAAATCCTGGAAAAGGAATTACATTTCTATTACATTAATCACACCTTGTTTGTCTCTGCTTTTAGGAACTTGTCCCAATATTGTTCGAAATGCCATTGTCAACTGTTCAGAACTTGTAACCTACGACATCATTAAAGAGGCCATTTTGAGGAAAAATCTGTTGACAGGTGGGCTGACAGATTCTTTGCAAACTTTATTTCAGATCCTCTTTTGCTTTTTTTGCTGCATTCCGTACAAAGACAACACAATGTGCTCTTTGTGTTACATTGTAATTAGCTCTGTCTCAAGCAAACGGAATTAAGGTGAAAGTGTTAGTGTAAATTTCATGCTGTTGACTACTTTTAGCTGAAAAGTGGGTATCATGTTGGTATCTTGTCATAATAAAAGCATTTGAGTGCAAAATGAGGAAGCTGGGAAGTAATTTTTGTTATCATCAGTAGTGAGAAACTCGTGGTATCCTGCCACATTAAGTCAAACAAATTATAGTTTCTACTTTGGATTTGAATTTAAGGAAAAGAATGATATAGAAGAATCAGCAGAGCGTTGACAAAAATGAACAATAAAGACTATACAAGTCTTAGCAGATTGAAAGAAAATGTGAGGAAAGAGGGTCAAAGCATACTCATCCTTTTTGTCCTCAGTTGGTACCAGTGCTCAGTCTACATCAACATTATGCTGTGCTTTGCATTTAGACAGGGAACTTTAAGCATTATTTACAGGACCATACTTAGGGAGGTGGTGGCACATTGGACTTATCCAGATGCCACAGGTTAATGCTGTAGGGACATGGGTTTGAAACCCGCCACAACAGATAGTGAAATGTAAGTGCAATAAATAAATTTGGAATTAAAGACTAGTCTAAAGGAGCTTTGACATCATTGTTGCCTATTGTAAAAACCCTGTCAGGTTCACTAATGCCCTTCAGGAATTGAAGCCTGGCACCCTTACCTGGTCCAGCCTATATGTGACTCCACAGCAATGCGATTGACTATTCAATGCCCACTGAATTGGCCCAACAAACCATTCAGTTGTATCTAACTGCTGCAAAGTGTAAGAAAAGCAATGAACCCGGACAGACCAGTCAGAATTGATTGAAGAACAAAAACAGAGTTGCTGGAAAAGCTCAGCAGGTCTGGCAGCATCTGTGAAGAAAAAAATCAGAGTTAATGATTCGGGTCCTGTGACTCTTCCTCAAGGGAAGCTCAGCACCACCTTTGCAAACATAAATAGTGATAGGTGATAAATCAAGGCCTATCCAGCACTACCCACATCCAATTAAAAAGAATAAAAATATATTCTTGCTCTTTGGTGGGGACGAGTCAGGAGAATGTGTATATTTAACAGTGAGAAAAGAAATAGAAATTCAAGTTTATTCTGATTCTTAAAATAATAGGTTAGATGATATTATCATGGATAGCATTGAATGAAACTACCTAACTCCCTATTTATTTCTAACTTATATACTTTCTCATTTGTATTTGACATTTACTCCATTTTCACATTGCTGCAATTAGAAAATTATCCAGTGTTTGGGTATGCAACAACATAAATATTATAACAATATTACCAGTGAGCTTGCCTGGCCATTTCCACTATCCCATACCAATGTGCTGGCTGGAGTCAGAAAGATAATATTTAATTTGAAGCTAACTTGACAGGTAACTAGAAACTTCACATTGAGATAGGACTGATGTTGATTCACATGTCTTCCAGAGAATTGTCTTTCAAACAAAGAACTTCCTGTTTAAAAGTACATTATTAGCTCTTTTAAATGTACATGATTTCTGGAAGGTTAGCATAACAACAAATCTTGTTTCACAGTGAGACTAAGAGGAACAAAAATGAACCAGAAATCCTTTTCTCCCATTGTATTTTATATTATTAATATTTAGGTTATTCCTATTATTTGAAGTCAGTGTATACAATTATTCAGGTACCAAATAATACAAACTTTCATTTTATTAAGCTTCTGCAACAAAACTGTTGCTGTGTTTTAGCCAGAGTCTTTGATTAAGCACTTTCATAAAGGCACTCATTTTCTTTATGTCAAATTTAATCCAGAAAGCTTGATACCCCATCCAAATTTGCAATGCCATAGTATCAGCTTCCTTACACAGAAGGTACAAGTTGAAAATAATCTCGTGTCTTCACTTTAACAGATACAAACTCTAAAACTGATCAGGATTTGTTCTAATTCACAGATAACTTTCCATGCCACTTCCTCTCAGCCTTTGGTGCAGGGTTTTGTGCAACAGTAGCAGCTTCTCCTGTTGATGTGGTAAAAACGAGGTACATGAACTCTGCTCCTGGCCACTACAAGAGTGCATTAAATTGTGCTTGGACCATGCTGAATAATGAAGGACCAACAGCTTTTTACAAAGGGTAACTTCATCTGGTTCAACTTAATTAACAGTAAAGTATATCTACATTTAATTGGTGTTTTGCTTTAGCTATTGATTTTCTTCCCTTGCTTCCTTACTGGAGTCAGTTTCACAGGATCACACAGCTACTGAGTCTCAACAGATGATTCAAATAGGGGACATTGTAGCTGAACTTGATTTTGATCTTACCAGGTCTTCATGCATGATTGTAGCAGGCACTGCTGGACAGGTTCAGAAGTAAGAACTCTGGCTAATTTTCTCTCCCCGGTCTAGGGGCCATACTGAGACCCAGTTGCACTAATATCCTTGTTGGCCCAGCTGAGATAAACAATCTCAACACAGGCCAAGGATCAAAACCAGGGAAAACCTGGTTCGACTACTCACCAGTTTAAACAGTTGAGAAATCAGGAACATATTTACATTTTAAACATTCATTCTGGTATTAAGCAAAGCAGGAGATATTTCAAATCCAGAAAATCTCATTTAATTTTGCAAAAGATGAGCATCTTTCCCCTTTTACCTTAATCCTATGCCCTCTAGTTTTGGAGACCCCACCCTGGGGAAAAGACTTTGACTATTCACCTTATCCATGCCCCTCATGATTTTATAAACATCTATACCATCACCTGTCAGCCTCCTATGATCCAGGGGAAAAAGGTCCCAGCCTATTCTTACAACTGAAACCCTCCAGTCATGATAACATTCTTGTAAATCTTTCCTGTACCCTTTACAATTTAATAATATCCTTCCTATAGCAGGGTAATTAGAACTGTATACAGTACTTCAGAAGTGGCCTCACCAATGTCCTGTACAGCTGCAATATGATGTCCCAACTCCTACACTCACTGCTCTGACCAATGAAGGCAAGTGTGCCAAATGCCTTCTTCACCATTCTGTCTACCTGTGATGCCACTTTCAAGGAACTATGTAGTTGAACCCCTAGGTGTCTCTGTTCAATTTCTCAGAGGTTTCTTGTCTCAATCCACATTCTCTTTCAGATCACTGTGGCTTTTAGTTTAACTAGAAGTCCTTAATATAGAACTTAGTCAACCTGTAAGTCATAACACACTAACTCTGTTCTTTTCTTCTCTCACCATATGTTAAACACTCTGGATTCATTATCAATGTTCATTTCTATTGTAGGTTTCTTCCCTCTTATCTCCGCCTTGGCAGCTGGAATGTGATTATGTTTGTGACTTATGAGCAGCTGCAAAGGGCAATGATGATAGTCAAACAAAGTTACGATCGTGCTGCATGATTCGTTGGAACACATTACTCCAAATCATAGAATGATTTCCCTACACTGCTGAGTCTGCATTATGGACATGAGAACTGATGCCATAAACATGAATTCTCAACAAGGGATGCCTTTTTAAAAATATTATTTTGTACAAAATGAGGCTCCTTGGACAGCCTGTCTTTGGTTTAATTCTATTGCATTTTGAAATCTGGTAATATTTGTTCATGAACAAATGTACAGGATAAATGTTTTTGGACGGTATACAAACAATCAAAAAGAAGCACTTTATTTTCACAGGAAAATGATTAATAATGTACTATTTGTTTTTCAAAAATATACAATTGAGCAACATGCATTGTGTTCCTTAAGAATGTACAAAGAGACACTAACCTAGAACTTTGATCACACTTCATTTGTTCTACAGAAACATATTGAATGTCTAAGGGTCCAATATAGTGGATGGTGAGCCTGGATCATTCTGTACCAGATGTATGCTGTCTGTCCTGTTGCAATGGGCTCTCACCGCATCCAGGTCATACACCAAAAAAAAATTCAGAGGCCTCATTGCAATTAAATAAGAGTATTGCTCTTGCTGTAGGACCTTTTCATGAAATTGGTTTTCATCAGTGCCTGACATAGCATGTATCACAGTAACAGGCACAAAGGACTGGACCACAACACTGTTGAAATGACTAAGCAATTCCTTACACATTCACAAACTTTTATCCAGTTATTTTTTCCAATCTACAAGTTAATTTTGATGACTTGCAATAAATTTTTGAGGATTTTTGACTGCGGTGTTTTATTGTACTCATGGGTGTTCTGCCGATGTTCGGGGATGTATCATTGGAGAGAAGGAGACCATACCCAGAGTCTTCAGTGGGCACATCTCATAACTAAAGAACAGTATTTCAGATGGCTTCACTTCACCGAGGAGGTCACTGAACAATGTTATCTCTTGCAGCTAAACCAGAACCAGAAAATGGGGTTAAAACTCCCTTGTCCGCTCCACACTCCCCTCCAGCTCCACCACACCCGGCACTTTTCCCTGCAACCGCAGGAAGTGCTACACCTGCCCCCATACCTCCTCCCTCACCCCCATCCCAGGCCCCAAGAAGACTTTCCACATCAAGCAGATGTTCACCTGCACATCTGCCAATGTGGTATACTGCATCCGCTGTACCCGGTGTGGCTTCCTCTACATCGGGGAAACCAAGCGGAGACTCGGGGACCGCTTTGCAGAACACTTACGCTCGGTTCGCAACAAACAACTGCACCTCCCAGTCGCGAACCATTTCAACTCCCCCTCCCATTCCTCAGACGACATGTCCATCCTGGGCCTCCTGCAGTGCCACAACGATGCCACCCGAAGGTTGCAGGAACAGCAACTCATATTCCGCTTGGGAACCCTGCAGCCCAATGGTATCAATGTGGATTTCACAAGCTTCAAAATCTCCCCTCCCCCTACCGCATCCCAAAACCAGTCCAGCTCGTCCCTGCCTCCCTAACCTGTTCTTCCTCCCACCTATCCCCTCCTCCCACCTCAAGCCGCACCTCCATCTCCTACCGACCAACCTCATCCCGCCCCCTTGACCTGTCCGTCCTCCCTGGACTGACCTATCCCCTTCCTAACTCCCTACCTACACTCACCTTTCCTGGCCCCATCCCTGCCTCTTGTTTCCTCTCCACCTATCCTCTCCTCTATCCCTCTTCTATCCGCCTCCCACTCTCTCCCTATTTATTTCAAAACCCCCTTCCCCTCCCCCTTTTCTGATGAAGGGTCTAGGCCCGAAACGTCAGCCTCTCTGCTCCTATGATGCTGCTTGGCCTGCTGTGTTCATCCAGCCCTGCACCTTGTTGTCCCAGAAAATGGGGAGCAGTGTTTCTAGCTATGAAGATAACTGCAAACCCTTCAGCTCTATGCCATAGACTCATTAGAGGTTGCAGTAAATGATCATCAGATTACAGTTTGCTATACAGCAGATATAAAGGTGTCCCTAGCTTTTTCTGAGCACTGAATACTGCCTCATTCTGTGCATCCACCTACAAGACAGAAGCGAGCATTTTACTGGCTTTCTTTCAGTGAATTTGAGAATGTTGTTGGCATGATGGAATATTTCAGATGTGTACAAGATGTGAGATGTTGGGAAATAAGGGTTGCAATTGTGCTGAGAGTAGACAGCGCAGTTCATTTTGTATGTCGGAAAGAATGTAGGAACTGGAGGAGGCATTCAGCCTATTGAATCTGTTCCACCTTTGTATTAAATTCGGCTGCGCTGTATCTTAACATCATTTATCTGCCTTGGTCCCTTATCCTTAATACCATCACCAAACAAAAATCAACTTCAATTTTGAAATATTTAATGAAACAATTGCATTTTGGGAGCATTCAGACTACTGCTATCCCATGTGATGTGTTTGTTTAACATCAGGTTTGGACAGAATATCTCAAATTTAAAGGTTATCCCTTAAAGTTTTCAAGAAGATTTGTAGCTCAGGTTTTGGATGAGGTTGTAGTCATGCTTGCCGAGCCGGTGGGTTTAGTTCCAAACGTTTCGTCACCCTGCCAAGTAATATCATCAGTGCGTCTCCGGTGAAGCGTTGGTGTTCGGTCCCCTTTGTTATTTATATGCCTCGGTTTGCTGGGGTGGTTGATAATAACTTCCAGTTCAGTTCTCAGTGGTTTGTACATAGGGTCTAATTCAATGTGTTTATTGATGGAGTTCCGGTTAGAATATCAGGTCTCCAGGAATTCTCTGGTGCGTCTCTGTTTGGCTTATGTGATTATGGATGTGTTGTCCCAATCGAATTCGTGTACCTCATTGTCTGTGTGTAGTGAGACATGACCAATTCACAAATCACTGATAAACAGAACCGGAAGTAATGAGGGGAAACAATTCAAACCTGTCCAGTCTCTCCTGATAGCTCAATTTCTCCATCCTAGGCAACATCCTGGTTAACCTCCTCTGTACCCCTGCTAGTACTATTGCATCCTTCCTGTAATGAGGTGACCAGAACTGCATACAGTACTCCAGCTGTGGCCTGACCAATGCTCTGTACAACTCTAACATTATCTGCTTGCTCTTATACTCTTTGCCATGACTGATGAAGGCAAGTGTCCCATATACCTTCATTACTATCCTTTCTATGTGCTCTGCCGACTTCAGGGATCAATGAATAATTACCCCAAGATCCCTCTGTTCCTCTAAGCTACCCAGTGTCCTGCCCTTCATTAAATATAGGAGTTGTGAGGTCATTTTGTGGCTGTACAGGACATTGGTTAGGCCACTTTTGGAATACTGCGTGCAGTTCTGGTCTCCCTGCTATAGGAAATATGTTGTCAAACTTGGAAGGGTTCAGAAAAGATTTACAAGGATGTCGCCAGGGTTGGAGGGGTTGAGCTATAGGGAAGACTGAATAGGCTGGGGCTATTTTCCCTGGAGTGACGAAGTCTGAGGGGTGACCTCATAGTGGTTTATAAAGTCATGAGGGGCATGAATAGGGTAAACAGTCAAGGTCTTTTCCCCAGGGGTCGGGGAGTCCCAAACTAGAGGGCATAGGTTTAAGGTGAGAGGGGAAAGATTTAAAAGGGACATAAGGGGCAACTTTTTCACGTAGATAGTGGTATGTGTATGGAATGAGCTGCCAGAGGAAATGGTGGAGCTGGTACAATTACAACATTTAAAAGGCATCTGGATAGGTATATGAATAGGAAGGCATTAGAGGGATTTGGACCAAATGCTAGATTTATTCAGGATATCTACTCGCCTCCCACAGCAGCCTGGGATGCAATTTATCCAGCCCGGGGATTTATCTGTTTTTAAGCCCAACTGAGCCTCCAATACCTCCCTGTTTCCTATGTCAAACCAAGCAAGTTCTTCACAGTACCTTTTCCTGGATTCTGTACCTACATTATCCTTTCCCAAAATGAAGACCAAACACATGCACTGCAACCACCCCCACCCACCCAGTTTCCTGCTGCTTCACACACAGGTTGCCCCCTTGGTCCCTAATGGGCCCTACTCTTCCCTTTGATGTATTTTTAAAACATTCTCCTAATTTTGTTTGCAAGTCCTTTTTTATGCCCCCTTTTTGCTCTTCGAATTTCTTTTAACGTTCCTTCCTGCACTTCCTGTATTCCTCTGGGGCTGTAGATGCAATGTATGATTTCATAATTCTTATCAAATTTTTCTGTCTATATAAAGATGACCAGATAGTCCTGGATCTTCCACAAGAGTTACCTTGAAGTACTTGTTTAATGTATATGATTTACCCTTTACAAACTCATGCTGATACTCTTTGATCGATTCATATTATTCCAAGTGCTTGGGCACTCTGTCATTAAGCAACAGAATTTAGTAACTTCCCCACAGCAAACATTACAATAATTTCCTAGTTTAAAACTTTTATGTAGCATCTTCAATGTGTTAAAAGTATTGTTAAAAGAAAATTTGACACTGTTCCACAAATAAATAATTGCAGACATGACCCAAGACTAGGTCAGATAGAAAGGTTTTAGGAATATATTGAAAGATGTAGGGGGGGGGCACAGTTTAGGGTGGGAGTTGCAGAGCTAAAGGGGCAGGCACAGCCAACTACAGAGTTCCAAATAAAATCAAGAATGCACAAGAGCCCAGAATGTGAGGAGCACAAAAATTTCAGAAGTGTTCAGGCTGAAGGAGGTTAGATTAAAGCTACTAAGTTCCTCCCTTCATTTCCAGATTTTTCCTTGTCTCAGGTCCTTTATTTTCACCCTCCACTCAGTTTTGTCTTGTTACTATTAGGTGTTTACTTAGATTTACACTGTTGACTAATTTAAATGTATTAGTAATTGTTAAATACAAAATGTCCTGTTCTCCTGTTGGTTCAAGAACATGTTCAAACAAAACTGCAGGCATACACAAGAAATTTGATGCCTTTTTGCATCTCCCAATTAATGTGAAAATTAATGTTGCCCATTAGAGACAGAATGAAGTGTGATGCATTGACTGCAAGAGTGTGAAGGGAAGCAGGAGACGGGATTGTTAAGGATAGAAAGGAGAGCAATTGATGGGTAACATTTTGTTTGACAACACTTGCGATGCAAGTTCATATGTGTTGTTGTTTGGGAACTTTCAATGGAGGGGAATGATGTCTAGCTTAAAGTTTGATCTTAATTTCGATAAAACACATGTTAAGAAGGAGGGAAGACGGGACAGAATTTCCCCTCCTAGGAACGTTAATAGGGACAAAATTGAGAAATTTGGCAAGAATGAAAAATCAGAATCTCAACGTCGAGAAAAAATGTCTGACTTTCCTCTTAAGCTTCAAGTGGTGACTTTAGAATCTTGCTATTGAGTAGCCACTACTATATTTCACTGCATTTGTGTCTTATTAGCCCAACCCACCTCATTTAAATGCTGCCACCAAATTTCTCCTTCCTTGAGAAGGTAGAGTAATGGTTCCCAACCTGTTCAGTATCAAGTCACACTTGAGACAAACAGTTCCACAGCACACCCACTTTTTTCAACTGAATTGATTGCTCATAAATGTCACATTTATACGCATTTACTATGGTTACAACCTTACTAGGGAGGTTTGTAAAAGAGTGCATACATCAAGCTAAAAAAAGGATCAAAAGAATCAATATTTTAAATCCACCGGGAAAAATACACCACCTTCAACCACAAGCACAGACACATTTTCAAAACCAATTGCTCAAGGAAGTCTCATCTGTAAACGGTGTCTTAACTTACTTGG